ATTTTATATATCATTATGATATAACCCACCATTTTATATATCATTATGATATAACCCTACATTTCTTGTAAGTTTTGTTTTGTGATTTCAGTGGACAATGACATTATATTCCTAATTGAGTTCATATTCAATTACAATATGCTTTAAGTTCTTTGTTTGCTTGCCGCATGATGTCGTGGCCATCGCTGGTATCTAACCCTGAATGTTAGAGTTATAAGCCTTCACATTCACCACTGAGCTACTGTGAGTGAGATTATTTAGTATATTGTGTTAAGATACCTTAAGGTTAAGATCGGTATAATTGGTGTGAATTAGTATTTCTTGTTTCTCACGCTTGAACACCAAAATCCTGTTTCTGAAACATGAAGAAAATGTTGGAGCCGTAAATTAGTGTGTAGTTTGAAGCTAAAGTACGTCACTAACCGGCCTCATGACGTCAGCAACACTGGATAATATTAGAGCTATATTCTTCTTTAATTTTATTTTGATTGGACTTACTTCATGTTTACATTACATCTTATCATTACACACTAATTAACTCTTGATGAACTGGCTCATTGTTTCTTAAGTCTTCGTTAATCAGCTTCTAATGAACTGGTTCACTGTTTCCTTGTTCTTCCTTAATCAGCTTTTAATGAACTGGTTCACTGTTTCCTTGTTCTTCCTTAATCAAATTCTGGTGCAGTGGATCGCTGTTCCTTAGTTCTTCGTTAATCAACTGGTTCACTGCTCTCTTGTTCTTCGTTAATCAACTTCTTATGAACTAGTTCACTGCTCTCTCGTTCTTCGTTAATCAACTTCTAATGAACTGGTTCACTGCTCTCTCGTTCTTCGTTAATCAACTTCTAATGAACTGGTCCACTGCTCCCCCGTTCTTCGTTAATCAACTTCTAATGAACTGGTTCACTGCTCTCTCGTTCTTCGTTAATCAGCTTCTAATGAACTGGTTCACTGCTCTCTCGTTCTTCGTTAATCAACTTCTAATGAACTGGTTCACTACTCTCTCGTTCTTCGTTAATCAACTGTTTCACTACTCTCTCGTTCTTCGTTAATCAGCTTCTAATGAACTGGTTACTGCTCTCTCGTTCTTCGTTACTCAGCTTCTAATGAACTGGTTCACTACTCTCTCGTTCTACGTTAATCAACTTCTAATGAACTGTTTCACTACTCTCTCGTTCTTCGTTACTCAGCTTCTAATGAACTGGTTCACTGCTCTCTCGTTCTTCGTTAATCAGCTTCTAATGAACTGTTTCACTACTCTCTCGTTCTACGTTAATCAGCTTCTAATGAACTGGTTCACTACTCTCTCGTTCTTCGTTACTCAGCTTCTAATGAACTAGTTCACTGCTCTCTCGTTTATCGTTAATCAACTT